CGCCGCGCCGTGGTGGAGGCCGAGAAAGCCGAGGCGCTGCAGCGCCGCGCCGCGCTGGAGCTGGACGTGCGCGAGCTGGAGCGCGGCATCGCCGGCACCAAGGCCGAGCAGGTCGGGAGTAGGAGGGAGGGTAAAGGGGTGGGGGTGGGGTGGGCAGGCTATGAGCTGTGGTGGTCGTGGGGTCGGCCCTGATTTCCAGCCTGGCAAGCACACGAATCATGCGACTCGACACTGTCACCATGCACTCCCTCCTGAACCCCACCCACTCATTCACCCCCCTACAGGCGGAACTCAACAAGGGCCTGGACCTCGTGAGCAGTGACATCCGGATCAAGCGCGCCGAGCTGGCGTCCCTGGACGCGCGGCTGGCGGGGGCCGTGGAGGAGGAGGGCGCGGCGGCGGCCGCGCTGGTGGGCAGGGAGGCGCGCCAGCAGGCCCTGTTTGCGAAGCAGGGCCAGCGGGCCAGGTATGCCACCGCCGCCGAGCGCGACGAGGCCTTGACAAAGGAGATCAGGTGCGGCCGAGGGGTGGGAGGTAGTGAGGTTGTCTCAGCACAAGGGTTTCCCCATGTGGGAGGCTGCAGCTGCGTGTGGAGTTCCAGGCGCCTTCACACTTGCAACACATCCATCCTCCTCCCAGGGCGCTGGAGGGCGCCCTGACGACCAAGCACGAGACGCAGGCGGCTGCGGAGCGGCAGGCCGCCGCGTGCGCCACGGAGGCAGAGGCGCTGGAGGAGGTGAGGGCAGGGTTGCGTGATGTTGTTTTTGGAGCACAGAGGTCGGCGGCAAATAGTCCGGGGTGGCTTATTTATCTGACTCTCGGGACCTTGAAGTCTTTGAGCAGACCCACCGCCGTCCAGATCGATGGGCGTCATCTGTCACACAAGGGTCGACTTTTCTTCTGTTCCTGGCACATGGTTCACACCCCCAATTCCTCGCTGCAACCAACCCCACCATGCCCGCTTTGACCCCGGCAGGAGGTGGAGGCCGCGCGGTCCGGCCTGGCCGACCTGGAGCGCGACCTGGCGGCCACCGCGGGGCGGGTGCACGCGCTGTCCCAGCGCCGCGACGCGGCCGTCAACCGCCAGAAGGAGCTGTGGGGTGCCGAGGCCGAGCTGGATGGGTGAGGCGGGGGAATCGAGGGGGGCAAAAGGTGTGAGGAGGCCTTCAAGGGCGGGCAGCACCCTCCTGGCCACGCTGCGCTGCTGCTGCAACACTGATTGTCAGCAGACGGCGTCGCGCTCCCCGGCTCCCGGAACCCCCCCCTACCCCCCTTCCTCCTGCTTCACCCTCCCCCCTCGCTCGTCACAGCTCGTGGCGGCTGAAGGCGGAGGAGCTGGCGCGGGTGAGCCGCGTGCTGGAGGCCGCCACGCCGCGCGACCTTGTGCGCGGCTTGGAGGCCGTGGAGCGCCTGGTGCGAGAGCACGGCATCCGAGGCGTGCACGGCACCCTGCTGGACCTGTTTGACATCGACGCCCACCCGGGACACGCCACCGCGGTGGAGGTCACCGCCGGGAACAACCTCTTCTACGTCGTGGTGCGGGGCGTGTTGTTTTTCGTGAGGTGGGGTGGGGTGTTTGAGGTGGGTGGTGGAGGGAGTTTCTGGTCTCGATGACCGCACTGGGTGCCTGCCCCAGCGGGCTCTCGCATGGACAGGGAGTCTGTGTGGGGAGGGAGGACAGAGCGGCGACGAGAGAACAGCCGCCGCCCGGCACCGCTGCACGGTGACTGGCCGGCAGCGCACAGCAGACGCGATGGCTCTACCTGGCTCCCTACAGTAGGGTACCAACAATTCCAAGACTCTCCCTCCACATCCCTTCCACCACTCCTTCCAAGACCATTCCCCCTCCCTCAACCCCTTTCTCTCCCTTCCCTCCCTCAACCCCCTTCCCTCCCTTCCCTCCCCCCCCTGAAAACCACTCCACTCAGGTGGACGACGACGGCGTGGCCACGCAGCTCACGCAGCTGCTCACAAGCCAGCGCGCGGGGCGCGCGACCTTCATGCCGCTCAACCGCCTGCGCGCGACCGAGGCGCCGCGCCCCGACCAGTACGGCGACGCGGTGGCCCCGCTGCTGGACTTCCTGTCCTTCGATCCCGCGCTGCGCCCCGCCATGCTGCAGGTGTTCGGCAAGACGCTGGTGTGCCGCGACCTGGCCGCCGCCGCGCGCGTCGCGCGCGAGACCGACGTGGCCTGCGTCACCATGGACGGCGACGTGGCCGACCGCCGCGGCGCGCTCCGTGGCGGATTCACCGACGCGCGGCGCTCGCGCGTCGCCGCCGCGCGCGAGAAGCGGCGCCTCGGCGCCGAGCTGGGCGCGCTGGACGCTGAGCTGGCGGGCGTGCGCGGCCGCCTGGCGCAGGCGCAGCAGGACATCGCGCTGGCCGGCGAGGCGCTGGGCAGGGAACAGGCCCAGCAGTCCCACATCCAGTGAGCGCAGAGAGGGGGGGGGGTTGAGAGGGAGGGGGCTGGGAAGAAGGGGTTAAATTTGGGGGGGGGCTAGCAAGGGAGGCTCTGGGGGCCCGACAGCGACGAAAGTCCGCACGTGAGGCTTTCCCACCACGGGGCACTGGGAGCTCCTCCCTGTCCGGTCGCGGTGCAAACGTTCATTCTGCCCAGCATTCGCCCCCTCCCCCCCCCAACCACAAACAGGTCCAGCATCGCGCCGGCGCGTACCGCGCTGCGCGCTCTGCGCTCGCGCCTGGAGGCCGCGCAGGCGGCGGCCGCCGCACAGCTGCGCGCCGTGGCCGAGGTGCGCGCCACCTGCGCGGAGCTGGAGCGGCGCTGCGCCGCGCTGGCGGCGGAGCTGGGCCAGCCGCTGGCGGCGCGCCTGGGCAAGGCCGAGGCGGCCGAGCTGGCGGCGCTGGCGCCGGAGGTCGCGGCGCTGCAGAAGGGCCTGGCGGCGGCGAGGAGCAGGCGCCTGGCGCTGGAGAGCGAGGCGGAGGGTCTGCGCCAGACCATCGCGGGCGACCTCCTCCGCCACCAGCAGGCGAGGGCTTTGTTTTTGTGCAAAGGGGGGGACTTGGTGTGGTTGGCGTGGGGTGAGGCCCCAGGGCGACTGCCCGACTGCATGTGGTCCAGCCTGCATTGAGCGCACCATGACTCACCCCCATTACGTCATCCCCACAGGACCTGGAGGACCGGCTGGCGGGGCGCACGCTGGCCGTTGACGAGCCGACGCTGGAGGCCCGCCGCACCGCGCTCGCCACGGTGGGCGCTTGGGTGGCGGTGTATTCAGCTGGCTGCCTGTGGTTGGTCCGCCGCCGTGGGCTCCCGGCTGGCGACGCCCTTCCTTCCCCTCCTACCGGTGCAGGTGGAGGCCGAGCTGGCCAGGACCTACGCCGATGAGAAGGCGGTGGCCGACGAGCTGGAGCTCCTCGTGGGTCGGCGGGTGGGGGTGCTGGATGAAGGGTGATGGCTCGGGCGTGTGTAGTGCAGCGGAGGCTACATCCTCGCCCCTCCCGAGGACCAGCCTGACACTCCACTGGCGCGACTCGTCCCCTCGTCTCGCCAGGAAAAGGAGTCCGCCGGGGGGACGGCGCTGGAGGCGGCGCGTGAGGCGCTGAGCCGCGCCCTCCTGGCGCTGGAGGTGGGCGCGCGGGGTTTCACCACGGTGGTGGTACAAGGCGCCTGGCCGCTGGCCTCACCCCACACAGTCCAGGCCGAGGATGGACGCAGACCCAACCTTCCCAACCCCTCTTCCACCACGCAATCACACAGGACGTCCAGCTGAACGAGCAGGAGGCGCAGGCCAAGCGCGGCGCGCTGGAGGCGAAGCTGGGCGACCTGGACGACCGCATGCGCCTCCTGCGCCCCGTGTCGGCGGACGCAGTGGAGGTGCACGCCACCACCAGCCTGTCTGCGCTGCGAGCGCAGCTGGGGAAGGTGGGTGGAAGGGGTCGGGCAGGATAGAGGCCCGCCCAATGTACTGCAGCCTCAACCTCTTCCGGCCCCCTTGACCTCACCCTCAGATGAATGCCGAGCTGCACAGCAAGTACCGGCCCGCCAACCGCCTGGCGCTGGAGCAGCACCAGGGCTTCAGAGAGCAGCGAGACGAGCTTGTCAGGCGCAAGGAGGTGGGCGAGGGGTACAGGTTCGGACCCTGCATGGGGCGCGCACGGCGCTCCCCCCATCTCCTGCCGCGAGCCTCACCCACTGACCTTGGTCTCCCCCCCCGCGACCCAACACATGCAGGACAACGACGAGGGCGAGCGCAAGATCAGGCAGCTCATCTCCACGCTGGACATGCGCAAGGACGAGGCGCTGGAGCGCACCTTCAAGGGCGTGGCCAAGAACTTCCGTGACATCTTCGCCACGGTGGGTGGTTTGAGGAGGTGTGCGGGGGGCCACCCTGTTTCAGATGAGCAAGCCTGGATGCCTCCGTGCAGATGGAAGGCCGAACGGAACCTTGAAAGACACGGTGGCTGGGCGGCTGTGGGTGGTGGCCTGCATGGGTGTTGCACCCTGCACAACCGCACCCCCCCGTCCACTGCCCCTTCCATGCCCCCCAACAGCTGGTGCCAGGCGGGAGGGGGGAGGTTGTGATGCAGAAGCGGGTGCCGGGCTTTGGGAACGAGGAGAACATCGACCCCGAGGCTGGCAAACCCTCCACCGGCCTGGACCGATACGTGGGCGTGCGAGTCAAGGTGACGGAGGAGGGTGTGGGGTGGTTGCACGCCTCGCTGCCCATGGGGATCAAGGACAAGATCGCTTGGGAGCAGGGCGCCTCACGCAGCACATGCTTGCCAGTTCCGAGGTGCTTTGTCGCAACCAACTCCATGCCCCCTTGGGCCCCCATGCAATCCCCCAGGTGGCCTTTGGGGCCGGCGGGGAGACCATGTCCCTTAGGCAGCTGTCCGGCGGCCAAAAGACGCTGGTGGCGCTCACCCTCATCTTCGCCATCCAGGTGCCGGTGGGGGCCGGGGTGAAAGGGATGGTGCCAGGCGCGCCATGCCCGGAGAACTGGGGATTGCCCGCACGCACTGGAGTGGCCTTCATCAACAAACGGGGGCCATTCTCCTCACCAAGCGCCCGTCCACATCCCCTCCCCCCGTACCCAGAGGTGCGACCCCGCGCCCTTCTACCTCTTCGACGAGATCGACGCGGCGCTCGACCCGCAGTACAGGTACCTTGTTGCACACTGCCGCGGGGCAAGATGGTGCACATGCAGAGCAGCGGTGATGTGGGCTTCCCTGCGGTCGTGCAGCACGGCTTCGTGCGAAATCCTGTCATCCTTTGCCTCGCTTTCCACATCGCCACAGGACCGTGGTGGCGGACCTCCTGCGCGCCCAGTCCCGGGATGTGCACCAGCGCGCCCAGTTCATCGTCACCACCTTCCACCCGCAGCTGGTGGCGGTGGCCGACCGCGTGTATGCCGTCTCCCACTCCAACCGGGTGTCGAGGTGAGGGCTTGGGAGGAGAGGGGGCGACTATGGTGAATCGAACCTCAGGGAACCCCTGACACTGTACCTCTGGGCCTCAGCCGCCGGTGCACCCAGGTATCGGCATCGAAGAGCAAACAGGCGGAGCTGCAACACTCACCCACGTCGCCCTCATCTTGCAGGGTGGACCTGATCCGGCACGAGGAGGCCATGGGCTTCCTGAAGGCACAAGGTGACACCGCAGGGGAGGCCAGGGAGGTCTCCTTGGTGGCCTGATGCCCCATCAGGTGTGACCTGCACCACCCTCAGCCCCAACCTTCAAGCCTTGCATTCTATGCAAAGACCCACCGCACCCCCCCTGGCGCAATGCCAGGCCCCTGACACCACCCATGACCCGCCCCGTGTTCACTGCGATCCCCAACCACGACGATACCCTGTAATGCTCCATGTGTCGGTGTGCAGATACAGGGAGGGTATGCGGATGCATACCCCTCTCCAGACATAATACAAGGAGGACACCAGCGTAGTGCAGGGCGATCTGAGGCCCAGCGCCGCCCCATGCGAATGCCCCATGCGGATGCGGTGCTTGAATGCCGGCAAAGAGATTCCGCCATGACCCACCCCTGCACGGCGCCGGGCCCTCCCCAGCGGGCGCGCCCTTGCCGCAGGCGCGCCAAACCTGGCCAAGCCCTTCACTCCTGCATGGCCTCCGTCTGCTGCAGCTCCTCCACGCTCTCGCGCAGGCGCTCCTCCTCCTCGCGCGCTAGCACGCCCGGCGCCTTGATCAGGTGGATGGACTGCTCCAGCTCGCGAAGGTCGGCAGCCTTCTCCGCGTCGCGCGCGGCGGACTTGCGCAGCGTGTGCAGGCGCGCCTCGCGCGTCGCGCGGATGGCGGTGACCTTCTTCAGCGCGCCCACCGCCTTGTGCACCAGCTCGCGATCGTACTTCTCGGGCCGGTTGCGCTTTCGCTCCATCTCGAAGGTGGCGTCCTCCGCCAGGTCCTTGCCCGCCAGCTTGCGGTATGCCTTGGTCCACTTCACCTTGCGCGGGTTGCGCTTCATCTTGAAGTTCTTGTGGCACTTGGAGCGGCAAAAGCGGAAGACCTGGGGGGGGGACGAGGGGGGGGGGGAGGATGTGTGGGAGACGGGGCCAACAGTGCGCAGGCTGGGGAGCGCGGTGATCACATCACCGCATCCACATCATGGTGACGGGGCGTGGGTCCAACCAAGAGCCGACACAGCCTTGCAGGCAGAAACTGGCATGCTGTGCCTCGGACCCCAGCGCCCTGCCAAAGCTGGAACTCACTGTGGCATCATTGCGGACAAAGGTCACCCCGTGACCTGGGTAGCAGGTGCTGGAGCAGAACCAGCACTTCTCGAGCCGCACTGTGGTGAGCGGGGTGGGAGGGAGGGAGAGTCAGGGCCACGCTTGGGAAGGGAGTCGTAAATGTGGTACCGACGGGGCCGCCGGATAGCCATGCCCTCCTCACTTGCTGCGGGGCCGTCTGGGCGAAGAACACTATATCAATGGTAATATCTTCCAAGTATCAGTATGCTCAAAGCTGCCTTGGAATGGCTCAAAGGCAGGAACAGGTCGCTAGACGAGCTCCAAGACTGTGAAGACTGGTGCCCAGACAAGACGCCACCTCAAGCAACGGGCACCCTCCCCACGTTAGATATTCCAAAAGTAATGCTGCAGTGTCCATTAGACGGGAAGGCGCGCCAGTGGTGGGTTGCCCTGCATCCCTGCACACCCCGGAAGCGCTGCCCGCGCCCAGCAATTTTCCCGCGCCCGGGATTCCCCCATCTCCTTGCTCGTTTTGGGACTGAGGAACAAAACCCTCGACTTTCCAACGTGTTCTCGCACTTTCTCTTGCAGTCACACCGGCAAAAGTGGACATGTGGGGGGTCCAAGCCGGTGCTACAGGACCACGGGACGGGGACCCGCCGCCGCCCTGCTGCGCCCGACGTCGCCCCAGGCCCAACCCCCGCCCTGCACCACAGCGGCGGCCACGCGCGCCTCGGCCTCCCAGGCCATGGCGCGCTCGTCCATCTCGGTGTCTGGAAGCAGGGAGGCGGGCACCGAGTAGGCCAGTATGGCTGGCGGCGAGGGATCCCGCCCGGCCTGCAGCCCGGCGGTGAGGCTGTGCAGGACCAGGCCGCCGCTGGACAGGCACCGCGCGGCCTGGGCGCCTTCCTCCTGGCTTCCGATCGCGTAGACTGCAGGGTATCCCAGCAGGATGCCTGCCAGGGTGGGGAGAGCGGCCCCCCGGGCCGCCCACCGGTCGCAGTCCAGGGTCAACAGGCATGGCGCCCCAGAGGCCACAGCCCGGCGGGCTACACTCGCCCTCACCTCTGCTGCGACTCCGGCCAGGCTTGTGCCCCTTTCGGAGCCGGGCTCCACCCAGGTTGCGGTTCCAGAGGTAAAATCGATGAAGAGGGGAGGGGCAGCATCAGGCAGATACCTGTCCGGCCGGAGGAAGAAGGTGCAATCGGCCAGCTGGGCGACAGTCAGCGGACAATCTCCCAGCAGCGACGCCTGCCGTGCCAGCTCCAGGGCTATTTTGGGTGTCAGCAGCGCATAGTCCAACATGAGGGAGGGTCGCAGGCCACACAACACCGCGGCCAAGTCTGCCACGAGCTTGGGGACGGCGTGGTGCCTCACCTGGCCCTTCACGACCTGTGGTGCAAAAGGGTGTTATGTCCGGGTCCTGAGCCTGGATTTGCACGCTTGCATTCAGAGCAGGGGCCAGCTTTTGCACAGGAACTTGCCTGACCGCGCTGCACCCTCAAGTGCAAATGCATGGTGCACGCCTGGCCATGCCGCTGCCCCTGCAGCCACCACCTTCTTACCCTCCCTGATGGAGAGGTGCCACGCATGCGCCTCAGCTTTCTCTCACCTTGACGATGATGGTCAGCAGTCTTTCTGCCATTGCCTGGCCATGTGGGGCCTCCCTCAGGGACCCGATGTCAGCCACCATTGTTGCGACCTTGTATCTTCTGCAGGGCGGCCTGAATGGTGGCCACCTCCGCCTCTATCGCGGTCAGAAACCCCTGGACATCTCCGAAAGTCAAGGCCGTAGACTCCACCTTGTTTGCCGCCGTGGCTAGCTTGCTGGTTGTAGCGTTGAACGCAGCGATCTGACGACGGATGTCAGCCAGTTCCACCCCAATGTTTTGCTGGCGCTCGAACACACGAGTGACCCCCTCCTCCAAGGACCGCGCTGGACCTGCAGGGGGATAGATGGAGTTGCAGTCATCTCAGCTGTGGACGGCGGACGTCGAGCCTAGATGTTCGGGTCTGCGAGAGTCTGGCCCTCGTCCAGCCACTGCGCCCCTCCCACGACGCCATACCTTGGGTGGTTGAGCTCGCCTCCGCACCCTCCATCAAGTACACATGGGCTGGGAACTTTGTTTTTCGATTGGGTCGTGCATGATCACAGGGACATTCATCCTGCCAGGTCAGGACGCGCACTTCCGGATTCATTCGCAATCGAGGAATCAGATTTTCAACAGAACGAAAGGTGTCTTTCAACTGCTCGGGTCCGTAGCATAAAAGATAAATCAAGACACGTCCAGTAATTGCTAGTGACCCATATTACAAAACAAAAGGTCGATGCAGGTGTTCATGTTGGGAAATAGATAGAGGACTCACTCAGGATTCTTCTCAACCTGTCCTGCAGGTTCTTGTCCTTCTGCGTCCCTGATGCACCACTGGCAACGTCCTTTGAGAACCGAGCGAGGACCCGTGTGAAGAAGGCCCCATCTAGGGGGGCCTTGTCTCCTTCAGTAAATTGGGCCCAGATCTGCAGTAGGAGATGTGGGCTGAAATTAGATGAAGCTCTCCTGGTTCAACATGTGCTGCCATTCACCACAATGCAAGTCTATCGAACCCTTTGATCACGCACCTTTGCTCTGGCTGGTCCATCTGGAGCAGCCATGAGCAGGTTCATCAGCTGCAGCTCCGGCCGCAGGGAGGCCTGCTTGGCATCCATGGCGATGCGCATGGCCTTGTGTAGCTCCTGTACAACCTCCTTGCTGCCTTCCCGCTCCGCCATGGCGATGAAGGCCCAGGAGGACTGGAAGAACTCCTCCTGGTACAAATCCACGTTGGCACGTGCGTATGCCGCTGGGTCCTTTGCCTGGAGCAACTGCAAGAGCAGCTGTGCACCGCCTGAGACAGGCAATTTTCGGACCACCTGAGGCCCTTTTGTTTCGGCCTGCCGCGCAACTGGCCTTTGCTGACGTCCTGCGGGAGAATGTGGCGAGGATCTTGGGAAGCATGAAGATGGGGTTCGCACGAAGGACATTAACTCCAGGCACGCATAGGGTCGGACCAGGATGATCAGCGAGACTGAAAATTGTGTATTTTCCTCGTCCTTTCGATGCTCTGGAGCAGGTGGCCTACCGTTTACGCTCAGGAATGGTCCAGCAAGTCGACAACATTTGGTGTGGACCCCATGCAGGGCGTTTGGTCGACCACAGGGGCCGTGATGTAGCTGACTCGACATCTGCATGATTTGGGTAATGTTTTAATGGTTTAAGATCGTGTAGTCCAAGCCCTGCCGGGTTTCCACCCGACGGGACTTAAGCACCCTTTCGATTTATCAGGATCCGATGTGCTGAGCGTGCGGCCCGGTGCGTGGCACATCGTCGTTGGGGGCCGCGCCCAAACCTAGGTTCGCGCATACCCATTGCGCATGCACCGAGAATTCAACCTCAAATTCACTTTCACAAATCAGTATGTCGTGCTGAGCGGATTCATATGCGCGCGGGGATCTGAAGCCCCGCTCGCGTGCTCCGTCTTCCCCCTTCCCCCGCCAGTCTGGCTGTCGAGGGATGGATGCGTGGAGCGCTGCCAATGCGCCACACCGAATTCTGGTGTATCGCACCGTTGGCTGGACCTATGTCGTGGGCGGGAGCAAGGATCAGCAGGCATGGAGGATCCTCAAGCTCAGTCGACGAGAGGTCGAGCTCACTGTCGTGGAGGACCCCACCACGTACACGCGGGAGGAGCTCACCTCCCTCCTGCGATGCCTGCGTGACGGTGAGCGGAATGGATGCAGCTATCTGGGATCCGAGCCTGCCCTCGTGCCTCCCGACATGCCCAGGTTGGGGCTCTGCTCCCCCCGGCCCCAGTCCCCACCCGCCCCATCACCTCCTGATTGCACACCTGCAGGCAACCAGGCCGCGGGCGGGCTCCAGTTCGTGTGCAGGGCGCATGGTATGGCGGGGTGCTTCAGGTTCCTGCAGGGCTACTACCTCCTGCTCATCCTGAAGAAGTCGATGCAGGGCCTCATCGCAGGTGGGCCTGCGTGGGGGGATGGTCGTGCATCTCGGCCCCCCCTCCGTCCCGTGCTTTGCGCCCTGGACATCCCCAGCACAGCGCCCCCAGGAGGCAACACCCCCCCCCACCATCCCCCCCTTACTCCACCAGGGCACAAGGTGTACGGCGTGGAGAGCACGGCGCTCCTCCCCCTGCTGCACCCCGAGGCGCATGCCGCGGCCTTCCGTGAGGGCGGCACCGCGCTGCCCGAGGCGCGCTACCGCCGCATCTTCGGCGGCGTGCCCCTTGACTCTAGCTTCCTCTTCTCCCGCACCTGGCCCCTGTGGCGCAGCGTGCAGAGCGTGCTGGCCCCCGGCGCACCCGCCGCCGCCCCGCCCCCCAACCCCGACCCCTTTGCCAGCCAGTGGGTGTGGAACGCGCACATCTCCCTCCCGCTGCGCGCGCTGGGCCTGGCGCGCTGGCTCACGCCGCTGGTGCATGGGTTCTGGACGCAGCGCCGCCTCTCCGTCTTCGGCCGCCCCTTCACGCTGACGCTGCTGGCGCGGCGGTCGCGGCGCTTCGCCGGCACGCGCTACCGCAAGCGCGGGCTCAACGCCGACGGCTTCGTGGCCAATGAGGTGGAGCTGGAGCAGGTGGTGGAGGCGGGGCTAGACCGCCGCACCCGCCTCCCCGCCATCTCCTCCTGGCTCCAGCTCCGCGGCTCCCTGCCCCTGTTCTGGTACCAGGCCGCCAGCAGCGCGGTGCTGAAGCCCGAGATCGTGGTGCAGCAGTACGACCCGCTGTACCGCGCCACCGCCGCGCACTTTGACGCGCTGCGCGCGCGCTACGGCGACCCGGTCGTCGCGCTGGACCTGGTGCGCCGCAGCGGGCGCGAGGCGGCGCTGGGCCGCGCCTACGAGGCCGCGCTGGCCCAGCTGAACCGGGGGTGGGCGCGGGAGGGGCGCCCGGGCGTCGCCTATGTCGCCTGGGACATGCAGGCGGCGGCGAAGCGCGCCCCGCGCACGCTGCTGGCGCGCCTGCGCCGCGTCCAGGCCCCCGCCCTGGACGCCACGGGCTTCTTCGTCCTGGGCGGCGCGACCGGGGGGTGGGGGTCCTGCGCCAGGGCCGCACCCGACGGCGGCGAGGGCGGCGCAGGGGAGCGGGACTCCGGCGCCGCGGCCGCGGCCGCCCCCCCCTCGTCTCCCAGCCTGCGGCTGCAGTCCGGCGTGCTGCGCACCAACTGCATCGACTGCCTGGACCGCACCAACCTAGCCCAGTTCGCGGCGGGGCTGTCGGCGCTGGGGCGTCAGCTGGCGGCGCTGGGCCTGTCCGGCTCCGCGCGCGGCCTGGCCCCCGACTCCTCCGCCGCGCGCGCGCTGATGGACGCATACGAGGCGGCGGGGCACGCGGCCGCGCAGCAGTACGGCGGCAGCGAGGCGCACGCCTCCTTCTTCCAGCGCGCGCGCGGCGACGGCGCGGCAGCCACCACTTCGCGCGACCTGCTCACCTCCCTGCGCCGCTTCTACAGCAACGCATACACCGACGCCGACAAGCAGGACAGCATCAACCTGCTGCTGGGCGTGTTCCGGCCCGAGCCGGGGCAGCCACACCTCTGGGAGCTGGACTCCGACTCTGCCCTGCGACCGGGGGGTAGGCAAGGTGTGCTGGGGGGTTGTGGGGGGGGGGGGGAAGATTGAGCGGGACTTTGTAGGAGGTTCTGATTGACATCCGAGGGGTGGGTGGGTGGACGGGGTTGGAGACCCACGGCACAGGGCAGCGCACCTGCATCGCACGATCTCACACCCACCCGCTCTCACGCTCAAAGGCTCGCTAGAGGGCTCGGTGCGGGCCGGCAGGTTTGTGCCCCGTAGGCATGGCGCAGATGCGGGCTCCCTGGAGCGCCTGCCGCAGGAAGGGCACCGAGGCCTGAGCGCGGGCGTGGCACCCGTGCCCCCCACCCTGGCCCCACTGCGTGGCCTCGGCGGCGGCGCAACGGCGGCGCCGGCGCCGGCTGCGGAGCGGGGAGGCCAGCCAGGATCCATCCTCCAGCCGCCCCTCCCCACGGCCGGGGAGGAGAGCGACACCTCGGGCGACGAGTGCTTCACGCCCTCCCTGCTGCACCTGCTCTCCTCCGCGTCGGCGGAGGACTCCTTTGCCCCCTCGGCCTCCGTGGACTTGGCGCTGGCCGCCGGCCTGGCCCCCGCCCCTGCCGCGCTGCTGACCCAGGAGCTGGGGGCCGCGAGCCATCCCCCCGAGCAAGCCGCGGTGGGTTTGCTGGGCCACGCCGGATCCCTGGGCGTCCTGCTAGGGGCCGGGGGGCCGTTTGCGGGCCCGCCGGCAGACGGGGGCCTGCCCGCCGGTTCGCTCGGCCGTGCGGCGTCGGC